TGTAGCCTGCGCTTCACAAATCCATGTTGCAGCATGAAGAAAACCCTTGAGAATTCTTTACAGACTGATCAGTCATCAAACACGAACAACTCAACGAACTTGGGCAAAAGTGCCATTCTGCATCTTCTGTTATAGCTGAAGTGAAAAGCTGGAAATCAGACATGGTGTTTTATGAGGCCCGTAAGTATCAAGAAAAGGCCTGTGTTTGAAGCAGCTCGAGCAGAAAACGGCCGCATTCTGTTCGTGTTTCATTTACGGCGGATGAAAGAAAAGCAAAGGAAAAGAGTGAGAAGGTTTCTGTTTCTCCAAGATGGATGAAGGGCAGAAATTCTCCATTAGACTATGACCCCATTAGCGCAATAGTTAGATTACATGCTCTGAACTTTGTATGAATGGCATTTATTTTTGGTTTGTTACCTTCTGATTGCAAGATTTAATCATTTCTTGCAGAGATCAATGTAGCAATGAACTGTTCGGCACCCTACACCCATGTAAGCATCAGCATATTTTTTTGTTTGATTCAGTGGAGTAAACATCAAGGTGTAAACTGTGGTTTTATTGTGAAGCACTGTGATTTATCTTTGTATTTGGTATACTGGAGCAGAAAAAAACCCTGTGCGATCCTCTGTCTCTCTGACTCCCTAATTCTTCTGATATTGGGGCAAGATTGTAACTGCTCTAAAATACGAAGATGTAAATATGTCATGGTTTTACACTACGCTTAAAATTCCATTTGCACTGAGCAATGCAATGCATTCTTCTCAGAAGTCAACAGAAAGCTGGGTGAAAAGTGGCCTGGTGGCTGGGTAAGAATTTTTCCTGAGCGATGGATGGCCCATACGAAGATACATTATAAATGTATAAGAGAAATTCCATTAAATCTCTATGAAGGTGAAGACAGAAGTTCTTTGAGTTTATTGCTGAGATTTTACGATGTAGGTAAGGCCGAACAGCTGACTAGGGACAGTAAGAATAGCATCTTGAGGTTATCTACTTTCTGAACCTCATGGTTTTTAATGCTCTGAACTCTTTTAGCTGAGGTGACAGGAAGCTCATTCAGCAAATTTTCAGAAAAAGGAGGAGAAACTCTGTACGTGTCTTAATAGTCAGTACCTTGAGTAAAGGATCCTGTATGAGTTGTGAACTTTGTCTCAACCTCACAGTGAACTTCCTCTGAGTGAAGAAGCTTGTTTGGTGGTTTTTTTGGTCTGGTCTGCTTCAGAACTGTCTCACTCTCTTACAGCTTTTGTAAAGATCGTATGTTCAGTCTTGCAAACTCCAAAGTACAGGCTCAGCACCTCTGCAAATTCTGTTTTTAATAAGAAACAGGAATAGTTTTTGGTTTATAAGCTTAGGTGGAGACTAACATGCAGCCATTTAAATTTTGAGTGAGGGGAAGGTGGTACAAATTTCTGCCTTGTTCCTAGTTTGTCAGCTGTCTGGCCCAGGACAGAAAAAGAAAATAAAGAATATCTGACTCTCATTAATGTTCACTAGAAACATACTGGGATAGGTTTGTTTAAGTCTTTAATTTTATACATAGACATGAACTCAAGAGTATTATGCATGCTGATGCTTACGCTGTCTAACTTCTACTGTGAATGAGGGTGAGGCTCTGTAATAATAATTACAGTATTATTCCTACTTACGTGTATTATTACTATGGCATTGTTACTAGTGTGTCCTGCTATATAAATTCCTTCCTCTCTCACAAGCAGTTGATACTTTTCCCTTGCTCTTAATACCTAAAGCGAACACAGGACATCTAAAGATTTTACCATTAATGAGGGCTGGCTCAGGGTACTAGCCAAAACCAGGAAGGAACTGTTCATCTGTGGCAGACTGACAAGTGAAAAGAAATAGATGAAGAACAGCAGCTCTGCTCCATATTTCTTACTGCTCAGAAGTATGGACGTATGATAGGTTACACGAGCAAGGGATAAATCACTACTAATTCAGAAGAAAAAAGTCCTGCACAGGACAGCTTCCACTTATGACTTTGTAAGAGCTGTAATTAAACTCTCGGTATGAGCACCTATTGAGAATGGTGCTCCATAATGCCTGATCTGAGATTTTTCTGAAAAAAAATTATTCTTAGGGTTTTGTTCTTCAACAGTCTTTAATCTTGACTCCAGTTCTCTCAACAAAAAGTTTGAAACACTTTGTAAACTCCTGGTTTGGGGATAAGAGCACTCTGTCGGTCTGACATCAAAGTGAATCGATGAGGTAGCTGTGCATTTCTATTCACTGCTTTAGCCATATATTCTTTTGCAAGTGTCTAGAAGCTGTCACCCTGCTATGCTGTGATGAAAATAATTGGATATAGTTCCCACTTCTGTTATTCCCATATGATATTGTTGCCAGTGAAGAATACTCAAAACTGATGGCTGCAAAGGCAAGTTTGAAACTTCAAAAGCCAAGTGTTCTCACGTGCTGAGCTGCTTGCTTCTCCAAGGAAATCTGCAGAGAGCTGCACCATATATCAAAGTGCAGCCAGGCATAAGACAATTCCCCAGATGGATAATATGCAAAAAGAAGGTATGTTCAAGGATCTAAATAGTGAGGTAGTCAGTATTCAAACTGAATCTAGGAGAAAAATTTTGGAGGCAGTTTGTATAAAACTAAATAGAAAATGAAATTACAAATCCCGTGAAGACACACATTTAATGTGTGAATACTAAGGCGCCTGCCCTTATGGTTTTTATTTGTCATTTGACAAAGGAATTTACAATAGTCCTGGAGGTTTGGATACTACATATAAACATGCTGGTTTTGCCACAGCTCAATAAAACTTTTACTGTATGATAAACTATGTTTTGACAAGATGGTGTTCTGACTAGGTGAGAACTAGGGTTCTCACCACTCCTATCTGCTTCTTACTTCTGCTTTTGCAGGCAAGCAACCTTCAGGGAAGTTCAATAAACCATTACAAGACGAGCCCTGGATGCCATGTGTTGACAGCATATAGATACCACATTGGGTTCCTGGCCAAAATTACAAAGGTTGGTGTGGAAATTTCAGCTTCTTATTTTAATAAATAAATAAATAGATTGCTAGTTCTCTCTCTCTGTTTAATTATGTTGACTTTACAATGTTTTTAACAAATCATAGCTGACAAATAACACTGCTCTGAGCTGATGTTTTAATTTTATTCTTACTGAGACTAAATTTATTCTAGCTCCTGAACAGGAAAGATACAAAGACAGCCTGACAGCCTACAATATCTCTATCTGATGCCACCACATAGAGAACAGCATGCCCCAGAAGAGGGATCTTGCAAACAAAATCACTCCCTAGCACTGCCGCAGGGATAGAGAGTTTGGTTTTTGCAGATGGAGTTGTTTAACAGACCTTCCTCTGGGGTAAGGAGATTTTCTGCAAGAAAAATTGCCCAAGACATCTCCTCCTCATCATTATGTTCTATGTTATTAATTTTGCAGAGCTACCCATGGCAATATCCCACACACTAATCATGCTACTGTGTTTGTCATGTCCATCCACACAGAGGTACCACAGCCAGCTAGACAGTGCAGGGTCTATTGAGAAATTTAACCATAACTCTATCATTCGTATTAGAAGAAGGCAAGTGCTAGGTGATTTACTTGGACAAACAAGACAGCTTGAAGGAATGTATTTTAAAAATTTTAAATCCCACATCCTATTTTAAAACATGAATGGATATGTTTCAGTTGGTTATGTTTCTTCTAGGGATAATTCAGAGTACATTGCAGGAAAAGCAGTCGCTAGTCAGACACACCCAAAGTACCCTTTCCTCTCCTAGGTTATTCAAAAATTAATCCATTGACTGAATAAAGGGGAAAAACCTTACAGTCAAAACTTTCAGTGCCTGCAGTTGTTCTGGTTTTTTGGTTGTTCATTTGTACTGTAACACAGCCAATGTCTGTCCAAGGCCAGACAAAGAGCAAAGGGCTCATTCACAGAATGCCATACACAGTACCTGTAAACAGGGGTGGTAAGATTGAGGTAGGCAATCATTAGGATTGTGCAAAACAGAGATAAGCCAGTAAGCAGATCTTCACAAAATAAAGTACAACATTCCAGCTTTTAGCAGAAATGTAGGAGATTTTCTTTTTTTTTTTTTTTTTTTTCTCTTGGCAGACTCATCCTCATGGTAGAAATCCAGCAGGTTTCTGTTCCGTTTCCTCTCTACTACGTTTTGTTGTGGTGACTACCGGGAAACCAGTGGTGTGCTAAGAGCGCCACTGTGTACTGATCAGTAGAACTGTTGCTAAGTAAATATCTCATTTGCTGTGACAAGTTTTTGACCATATTGAGATCATGCAAACATTGCAGTTTCAGACTTGTCAGGTAGAAAGGACTTTTGTAGAGTGTCCTACTGGAGATGCTGATGAGGAGGACTGTTAGCAGGATGTAATCTGTCAGTGTAATAGCATTCTGTCCCTGAGTATTCTCTATGTAAATGTAATATCTGCTTCTGATGAGAAGTTTCCCTAGTATTTGACTTGCACTGTCCTGTGCTGTCAGAGACTTAGGTTTCAGGCTACTGACTCAGAGCTGTCACCTCCAAGACTAGGTCCGGAACAAGAATTCCCTGCCAACTGTTCCAAGATCCCTTCCCTGCTGTTACCTGCATTGGGTGAATCATATCTTAAAGTACTACTTGTGAAAGAACAAAAGAAATACCTGAGATCTATGTCTTTAAATAGGACCTCCAGAACTAGCTACCTCTTACATATAAAAGTTTCATGGCATCTTTTGAGGCCTAAATCTGTACTCTGCTGAGAAATTCTGCACGTGTGTAACCCTCGTGACCTGAGGACTCTCATTACATCCACACTCTCTGTGATTCTCCATGCAGGATTCTCCATCTTTTTTAAATATAAATATGGATTGTAAAACCTGGTTTTTCTGTTTCATCTCCCTAAGATTTACTCAATTTTTTGTGAGAAATTTGGAACATTTTGCTTTTTTACCTAAACATTGCTAGTTCAAATTATCATCAGTCCCTTTGGGAAGCGATGTCATTGCTAGGAAACCCTGACACCGATTTGCCAAAGGTAAACACACAGTTCGTCTTTTCTAGAATAATGGATTGGAGTGGTCCACTTGGAAAACTTTGGAGGTAAATAGATCTTAGATCCTGGCAGGCAAAAACAGCAAAGTTTAGTGTGAGGCTGAATCTCTAGGGAGAGGACCGCCCTGAGTGTTTAATGTTTTGCTTTCAAGTTTTCTTTTTTTGAACCGTTATTTTGAGCTTTGTCTTGCTGCCTTCATGGGAGACAGCAGCAATGTCAGCTTCTCTCCTGTGGTATAATTAACACAGTGTAAAAATTTAGCAGAAGGAAATTTTTAGACAGCTGTTAAGAACTGGCATGAAGTTGGGTAAGAAACATAAACCAGGATTCAAGTTTTGTTATACCAGTTAGCTAAATACCTTCCTTTATTTTATTTTTGATGTATGCTATTGCCCCTGATTTTGATGTGAGCCTAATGGAGGAAACACAAACAAGCATATAGAAAAAGTGGTGCTGCTTAAACACCTTTCAGCCTAACGATAATACTCTTACAGTAACATGCTAGTGATTATATTTTATATTGTACTTTATCAGATGAAACATGGCAGGGGAAGCTGCTTTTTGTGGATAATCTTTTCTGAAGGTTAAATTAAAGAGAAATAAATGAGGTGACTAGCAAAAATCATGCTGGATTTCACTACTTTTCTCCTTACCACAACCAGTCAACCAAATGATGATTCTCTCAGCTTGTTTTTCATTTTGACTGGCAGAATTGGGAGAAAAGGCAATAGACTTTAGATTACTGTAAAAGTTTGTCAGCATAAGTTTGTGTAGTTTCATTTTGGGTTGGTTTTTTTTTTTTTTCTTCAGTTAAACCACAGAATATATGGACATGATTGCCTGAAAATTTGACCCTCATATTAAAATCAAGGACAGTTACTGTGGTGCAACTTGTCAGAAATTCATGCAGTGCTTTACCTTATGATATTACGGCCTGATACTGCTGTTCTGCTCAGAGAGGGCAGCAAAGTATTGCAGATCTGGGATCCAAGAGGACTTCAGCCCTGAGGTGTAATACCGAGAAAGAAATGAAAGTTATACAAGGTCTGAAAGGACAAACTGGGAGACAGTCAGATCATTACTACCTAAATGCACTTCAGCTTTTTGTTCTTTAAGCAATGGGGATTTGCTAGTGGTGGCCATGTTAGCAGAAACAGCTTAATCCCTCTGAGCTTAGACATGCAGCAATCCTGAGAGCTGTGGAGAGAGTCCCAGAAGAAACACAATAGCTAGGGAGTTCAGGATTCATCCCAAACTGGAATGCCATATGACTCATTTGAAGAGAACTTCTTTAAGTTTAGACATACAATGAACATAACATTGATGACTTGCTATATTACATATTTTCATTAAATCCTGAGATTTTCATATTCTTATAAACTTGGCTGTTTCTTTTCTGGGTGCCATATTTAAAGACACAATCAGAGGCTAGATGAAATGGTTCAGACACTGTCTCTTGCTCTTGGTCTTTTGCCTGATGATGGGTGTGTATTTCCTAGTCAATGCAATCTTTCCCAGGTAACCCTTTAAAATTATCTAAATGAAGAAATTTATGATATTACTCTGACTGATTTGTCACAGATTTGTGGGCTTACCAGTGACTCTTCAGCCTTTCAATGCCTTTGTACTTTGGTTTTCACTGGCGATGGTAACAAGTTCAGTTAACACAGATAAACCTGGAGAGAAAATGTATTCCTGCCTAGTAATTCAGTGCAGTGCTCTTGAAGTCAATGGCTTACCAGGCAGAGAGGGAAGAGATGGTCCCAAAGGTGGAAAGGGAGAAGCAGGTACAGAGCTATGACCATTTAGCAATATTGTATTTTTGACATTCATTACCATCCCTTTAGTCTTGTTTCATGCTTCCTTCATTCTTTTGTTTTGCCTATTTAGTTCTCTCCTTTTCTTCTGCCCCATTAACCTTTTGTAGTCTTTGGACAATTTCAGAAAGCTCAGGAAGCTTTCTACATTTCTAATGCTACTCTAGATTCTTGGCTTTTAATACATAGAAAAATACAATACATTTTCACAGTAGCCTGTAAGAGAGAGGTATAATGAGATTTTAATCTGATTGTACCATTTGTACTCTGAATCACTTGCAGAGCTTCCTGTGATGGCCTACTGAATTATTATTGCTTTTTCTCTCCAGAGGCCAGCTCTCAAAACCAGAAATCATGGTTGCTAGAGTTGGTTACTAATCTGATGGTTATAACTTGATTGCCTCATACTCAGTAAGTCCCAACAACAGAATTCCCCCCCAAGGCACGATTTGTCAGTTATGTAACTTTTTTAATGCACTGCTGCAAACAGCAAATAGATCAGCAAGTGCTTTCTGTCCTGTAGTACAACCAAGTCACCTGCTCTCCCAGGTCTGCCAAATCGTAGTCTCTGTCCGAACACTTAGTAAGTACAAATAGAACTTCATAATTTCTCACTGTATCCTGTCTCTGTTATCATATGTATGCCACACATCTTGGAATTAGATCATTGATTATCAACCTCCAAGTCCCATTGTTATCAATACTGCTTGATATGAGATAAACTATGACATAAAATTTTAGTGGCTGGTACTGACATACTGTATAGGCATTTTCTGGCCCACATACCATCGGTATGTGCTCTGCAATTTCATGGGTGAAATAAGTAAAGCCAGCATTATGTGTTTCAGCCAATGGCTTCAGAGCTATCCTTAATCTTATGATTTAGCTCATTTTCTAGATCGTATACAGTAATGTGCGATTAGATTACAGCTGAAATATATTGGCTTTCTAGTTTTAGAGCATGTGTACCTCTGCATTAACATGAGACAGCATTTATTTCACTAGATTTTCAGTGCCGTAAGTAGGTGTAGTAAAGAATTTTTCATCAAAGTAATGTATTTCCTAATATATGAAGCTTTCCACGGGAAGAATTCAATTTTCCCGAGAAGTTTTTATTATCCTTAAGAAATAAAAAAGGAGTCAGTACTCTCTCTAAGCACTAAGAAAGGAATAGTGGGTGAAAAACTTAGGGAACATTTAAACAACTTCCTTTTAAATCACATTGTAGGATAAAGACTGAGAAGTCTACAGGCTGTCCCTGGAAAGAGCTCCAGGAATAAAAGGTGATTTAGGATCACAAGGAGAGAAAGGAGAAGGAGGAAGTGAAGGTAAGAAATAGATTTCTCATGTGTATATAATCTAGTTTTCAAACTTTCAGTATATTTTCCAAAATATATTTGCATTAATTTCCAGTGTTCTTATAACATCATTTGAGGACAGGTGTGATTTCTCGAAACGTGAGGAGCGGAAAGACAAACCATCTGTTACATAGGAGATGAGTTGGCCAACATAACTGGGGAAAACTGTGTCTGGAAGGAGTCACTAATTTACTGTTGTCTGTGAGTGAAATAAACTCTTCATCTCATAAACAGCATTTTTTCTTTCCTTCTTTAACCGTTTGTGTGTTATTTAGTTCAACTTTTAATTCATTTAAAAATGCTTACATGTGTGTTTTGCCTTTGAGAACTGGTCTTTTCCTTCTGAATAGAAGATGACTTTGGCAGCCCTGAGCATTCAGAGCCTGCTGAAGTATTCATCCCCGTTAGGGACAAGGCTATCTCAGTGGGGCAAATTCCTGTGGAACAAGTCTGCAAGGTGGCCTGGGTTTCTGCTCTGGAAATCAAATAGCGTTCTCACCTGGCATCAAGTTACAGGAGAGAGAGGCATCTCAGAGACAGTCCTTATGTAGTCACTTTAATGTAAATTACTAAATAACACCCTAAAGTCATAGTTGTGCTAACTGATGACCTGCAGAGAGAAGTAACTGCTTTGGTAAGAGAAGTACAGGGTTTGGAGGCTGAACTGAATAGATACAAAATTCTTTCAGATCCTGATTCGAGAGCTGTGATACTATACGAACTGGAAATTATAATCATTACAAGACTTGCTATCTAGTTTCTTGTGAAATTTATTTTTCCTGAAGTGTGGGCGTGCTATTTCCAGGTGTCTATTTTGTTTGAATTCGGTTGGATTATGCCTGCTGCTACAACAAATAGTCGGTTTATAGTTGGTATTAGCTACTTCTGAAGTACAGTTGTGATATAGATAAATAAGTATAGCATGACCAGTATTTGGTATGATACAATTATGTTCACTTTTGTTTCTAGTTTTGATTGAAAAGAACATCAAGAGTATTGGTAAAAAAAATATTGGTCTCAACTGGAAAAGAAGGTACTTTTGATAATGGAAAATCCCTTTATGCAAATGCTGGAAGTGCACTTGTCTCTCCTAGGACTGAGACTGAGAATACAGCTTTAAAAGACTTAATAAGACCTTCAAAGCAGGCTTATATGGGGATATCTGATGAACAGACTAAAGGCAGGTTCATGCATCTGAATGGAGGGTCTGTAACTCAGAGAAACTGGAATGCTGGAGAGCCAAATAATCTAAAAAAATAAGACTATGCAGTAACACAAAACCCTGGAAAATGGAATTACGGTAATTGTTCAAATTCACATGCCTTAATTATTTGTGAATTCTTGAGCTGATGAATCTAAGAAAACCCAAAGTTTTGCTCTCAACTGTGTGGCTGGTATAGAAGTTTGTTCCCATAAAGGTGGCCTGGAGTAACCAAAACCACAGTGTATTTATAATTGTTTTCTCTTTGACATCCAGTTTTGAATCTCCTAATAATATACAGATATAATTTTTTTAATCATTATGAATTAAAAAGTGTTTATCATGGTGGTAATAAGGTTAAGAAGTTACAGCATGGTCAGCAGGCTGGTTGTTACACTTTCCTATGAGTTCGTCATAAATGCAGCATGAGGGAAGCATTTTTTAATAATCTTAAAACTCATGAAAAATGTTTATATATTCTGTCTTTGAGCTGCGCTGTAAGCACGGCGGGATTACACTCCACATGTTGTTTCTGATATATTGTTTTATCATGCAAATAATGGACAGTACAGGCAGTCCTGTGGTATTTCAGTATTCAGTGACGGCTTTCCTCCTGGTTCGTTTTACTCTAGGTCTGAAATCGACTGGTAATGAATACTTAAAGCCTAGAGCGGTATTTGCCATCTGGGTACAGAGGTCCAACGCACACAAGTGATTACCGACATGCAAACAAAATCTTTTTTTGAGGTTTTGGCTATTTTAGTGCTGTTTTTATCATGTGATAGGAAAATGAAATGTGCTGTGACTACAAAGAGGAATAAAACAGAAAAAAGGCACAACCAGGTTTCTTTGTGTGCAGTAGAAGAATCCCAAGAGAACGAGATCTTTTTTTGGTAATCTATTGGCATCATTTGAAGTACAGGAGATATAGATCAAGATTTAAATGCAGTAGAAGGCAGAAAAAATTGATCTAAAATTAAATACAAAAGCCTATTGGTGAAATGTGGAATTCAGCTCATGCGGAAAAACGGCAAAAGGCCTTATTTACATGAATAGGTCCTTAATGTGAGACAAGTGATACCATAGACTTTTTATGACTTTCTTGACGGGAGCTTCTTTCACCTCAAGGGAAATATGAAAAAGTGAACTACCGACTGGATTAACTAAGAGTAGGTGGATACCATGACCACAAAGCCCAGTACTAAAAGTTCAGCAATTAAGAAAAATGTTTGCATGCATGCTTCCACTTAGTGTAAGACATGTAAGCTAAGCAGCTCCATGGAGAGAAGGACTGTGTCTATACTGGCAAGTCTGTGGAACCACAGGAACATAGAAACATATCTGTACAGAGGAGCATTTGGTACCCATCTTATCTGTTTTATGACTGTTATTTTCATTGCCTAATTTCACGTCCACCTTTGTAAGTAAAGAGATTTCTTTTCTCTGCACCAAGTTATAGAGGCACAGTAAAATAGCAATTACTGAAATTGGTGAAGGGTATGAATTGTCTAGAGCATGATTTATCTGCTGATCTGAGGCACGTTCTCCTCGTTCTCAAGTGAACTGCTTTCCTTTTCTGCATTAATTGGTGTCCTTCAGCTATGAAACAAGAACTTTATAAATTTTGTCTGGGAATTTTTAATCAGTATTTATTATATGAAAATACAGGATATGGTGCAATATTTGAAAGGTAGATTTGGGTTAATTTAGGACAAGAAAGATATATTCTCGATAGTAGATATAATTCTGTTGTGCTTCCAGGTTTAGGGCTCAGTGGTAATTCAAGTCTGTGATGCATTGATTTGGAATGATTATGTAAGTCTACTTTGAAGTTGTATCCAAAAACCCTGCGATATGATTTCTGACCATTTCATTTGGACCCGAACTAAGAACAATAATGTATTATGCCCCCAGTTCATCAGCCAGCAGGTGACCGTGACTAAAGTGTTGTTTGGAAAAAGATACAGAGTAGTTTGCAGATGTGAACAGTTGTGTTCTTTCAACTGTATTTTTAGAAATAATAATCCTAATTGCCATGTCGGTCAGTCTCTCAAGAGTCCAGCTCTGAAATGTAATTGAGACTCATTTTTGCATGATTTTGCCCAGAAAATCTGCAATACAGTTGTTAAAAATTTATAAAGCTTCTTTTAACCCTTTTTTAAGACTTTTTTTGTGTTCAGAGAGCACTACACACCATTCAAATAAGATCTATAAGAACTGCAAAACTTTGCAGGTAAATCCAAAAATTTTCTTATGCTAAAAACTGATGTTCTTAGGCTGGACAAAAGTCCACAGGGACAGAACAAGACCTGGAAATAGTAAATGAGCTTTTATTAAAATATATTATTTGAAACTTTTAAACTCTGCAAGGTACTATCAGATGTGCCCTAAGTTCTGACCTTTCTCACCATGCATGTTAGGGACACCTTTCTCTAGAGACATCTTTGTTCAGAGGGTGCTGAAAAAAGAGAGTTTGAAATTGTGTTCTATTATCTTCTAAGAGGCTTAAATCAGTATCCCTGATGACCACTTAATTTTGCATTAATTATAAACTAATCTGTAATGGCTCTTATACCCCTGATTAGAACCATCTCATTTGGTGCTAATATGACCTCCACAGAGCTTCTGAGTAATTCAGGATGAGAGCAGCATTTGTGAAGCAGCTGCTGGGTTTATCTTTCCAAAACATAGCACAATTTCAGGCTAGGTATAGGCTTAGGAATAGCTATCCTGTCACGTGAAAAAGCACAACCTCTGAAAAGCTCTTTTCCTTGTATTTTTCAAGTGACAGTTCTCAGTGGGAACTACAAGGTGGAAATAGCTATTTCAATCAGTAGCAACTTGTACTTACTGCTTTATTTTTAATTACAACACATAAATATGGGAGGAAGGGGTTGTTAACGTATGCTCTTAGTGGAGAACCGTGGCCTTTCCTCTGCCTCGTTTCCTGTTACGGAAGAGCATGACCCCCTTGTGTGAAGCGTGCAGGGAAGTCTGTGGATTTAGCGCTACCAAAGTGGCTCTACCCTTTGGCCTAGCACCTGGAGACACAAGGAAAGAAAAATAATTCCTGGATTGTATTTTGGCCAGTAATGCCCGGGAAAAGAAATAATGCAGGAAAGCGTGGAAAGCTAGGTGGAGTCTCATACCGTTTTTAAGCTCTCCGCCAAACTTCTCAGCACTCACAGCATGACTGGATCCTCTGTTCTCTCTAGGGAATGAATTTGTCCAGAGGCACCTACAGTTAACGTTTCTCTTTGTGGTCTGTGACCCTCTTGATGTTTCAGACATTGGTAGCTTGAGCTCTTTAGTTCAGTGCCTCAGGCTAGACAGTTGTGAGAGCTTTTTCCTGGCTGCCTGTGTGCTCTGGTTTGTTTAAGTCTTCGACTGGCAGCGCAGTTTGTCCCACAGTTCTGAGCTTGCTGCAGGAAGCTTCTGGCAGCTTTGCAGTGAGAGGAAGACTCTATCTGGTTGGCGTCCTTTTCCAGGATGCTTAAATACAGACAAAACTTCTCGAATTTCAGTGTTTCATTGCAGCCTTAACAGAAAATATTACTACAGAGCTGGAAAAAAAAAAAAAAGCACGTGTATACTGTCTCACAAGATTCAAAACCCCAAAGTTGCCCTCTGTTCCTGTGTTGCTTTGCCTTAGATGGCTCTCTTCCTTACTTACCCCGTTGTTTGGCTACTCTAGGTAAGTGTATCATGGTGAGTCCCAGTTGTTTACATCCTACTCCATGTCGCAGCTTGTACTCACACACATTTCAGGCATCTCCTCTCATCTGTGCTGTTGGGCTACAACTCTCGGCCACCTTTGGTTTGTGCCTGAGTTATGTACAAAAAGACTGTGAAACCTTCCACTCATACCTAAGAATGGTTTTGATGTAAACTTCTGTTTTGATACAAGGGAAGCTGACCTACTACAAGCTGCTTTAGCTGAGATGAACAGAGCACTTGGCCAAATTTAGCTGGAAATCCTGAAACCTCTTAGGCTACAACATAGTAAGTACATTACTTACTGCCTTGATTATTTCCTACCTTTCCTACAGATCACAACCTTTTAACCCCTCTATCATCTTATAATTATGATTATGCCTTCTCCATTCTAAGAGAATGGAGAAGCACCTAGTAAGCACCTATATGCATTCATGGAAGCAACATAAATAGAAAGACAAATGAAAGAAGTGAAGCATTTTTAAACCTTTTTACCTCTTTACATTTTACTATAGAGATCTACAGCTAAACTGTAAAAAAAGGGCGGAGGGGGAGGGGAGGGAGAGTGTATTAGTGGTACTTCCCAAGCCTGCTAAGTAGATCGTTTATTGGTGTATCAAAAACTAGTAAAGGAAGCTTTATCTTAAAGCCTTAGATTTTCCTCTATGTGCTGTTATTTTCTAGTACCTGGTATTTACCTTAAAGCTGCAATTGCCGGCATCTGGAGAATCTCAGCTTTCCTTTTCAAGAATGAAGTGCCTTTCTATCTTTCATGAATAATCGTGAAAAAAAGCCTAAAAGCCTTTCAATTAGAAAGTTCTATGAACAAAGTGAAAATGTTGATTTCCTTTTAATCTCATGTTTTAAAGTCTATCTTAAAGAAGAACCTGTATTTTTAAGGCGTGGGGAATAAATGTTGGGAACAGTATAGCAGGACTCTATGGCAAGAAAAGCTGCTAGCTCATCACACAATGGCAGTTGTAAAAGCTATTTAAGAAATGTTTCAGATGTTGTTTATAATGCTTAAATATATATCACTTTACTGAAAAGTATATACTACAGTCCGTCTCGAGTTACTGGGAACTCTCCAGGGGCTCCAGAATGCTGCAGCCCTGAATTTTACCCTTGTCAAATGCTCTTGGAATAGTTCTGAATTTGGCCTTTATTCTGGCATCATTTATGTATGTTACAGTGGCACAATATGCTATTCTGGAAAGGTAAAAGAACTTAAAATACAGAAGTTACTAAACAGTTGAGCCCCATTTCTGTGGAAACATAGCTGGGGAAATAGATGATAGAGAAATGCAGTGTAGCATTTGCATGGTACCAGTGGTACCATAGCAGTCAGGAGCAGGTTGTTTTCTGCAGGTTTTGAAAACTAAGTTTAAAGTTGATGCTTAAAATCCCCTTTGGCTTTAGATGATTGTCCGAGATC